CACCAGGTTATGATTTGATAACAGGAAAGCACTAGTACTCCCTACGACAATATACAACTGCATTCTGAGGACAACTAAATTCCCACTACAATGGAAATATTCGTATATTAAAATGATACACAAAAGGGACAAAGACATTTACAAATCTTCATCCTACCGACCTATTAGTCTTTTTCCAATATGTTCCAAAATTTTCGAAAAATTAATGTACAAAAGATTGGTTGACATACTAACAGACCAAAAAATAATTCCTGGCCATCAATTCGGCTTTCGAACATTTCATTCAACTACGCACCAATTACACAGAGTTACAGACTACATTGCTGGACCACTAGAGCAAAAACAATATGCAACCGGCGTATTTCTGGATGTTGCCCAGGCATTTGATAAAGTCTGGCATCAGGGACTTCTCTTTAAACTCGAAAATATACTACCTCATACTATACTACCAAAACTATACTATCTAATTATTCAGCCTTTCTTTTTCGACAGGTTTTTCTCTGTCCGGCAGGGTTTAGAAATTTCCTCAATTCGACCAGTGTCAGCAGGGGTACCTCAAGGATCAATATTGGCTCCTTTACTATACATTACTATATGCATGACATGTCTACCACCTCCGAAACATTGATTGCTACTTACACTGACGATACAACAATTTTAACAAAACACCATAACCCCAGACTAGCCTCACTGAATTTACAAAATCACTTACTAAATTTACAAAATTGGTATTCACTTTGAAAATTAGATTAAATCATGACAAATCACAATATATAACATTTACACTCCGACGAGACACATGCCCACCAGTTTATATCGGCGACAACCAAATTCCTCAGACGGACACTGTACGTTATCTCGGACTAGTATTCGACAGAAGGATGACCTTGGCCCACATATCAAAATGAAACGGAAGACTTTGAACAAACGACTGAAAATACTGTGCTCTCCTTTTTCCAAATTAAAATTGAAAATCAGACAAAAACTAAATACGTGCACTTACCTACTCAAACCCATATGAACATACGCCTCACAAATTTACTGAAGAGAATCATGAGTTAGATACAGCATCATTTTTTTACCATTACCTATCTTTCTTTCAACTTTGAGTCAAATTGAAAAGCTTTTTCTGAAATATCAGAATAGCTAAGAAAATACATTTGCGCGTACGAAAGCGGTAGTGTTACCTGAAATTTAATGAATTGATATGGGGCCATCTAGACACCAACCCGCACAATTTCATGGAAATCGGATAAACGGTAGTAAGTGATATGTCCGTTACATCGATTTGACTACAGACAGACACCGAGCCAATTTTAATCCTTGTTGTCTAAAACTTTCCATATGAAAATAAAATCTGTGGGAAAAGTCGTTTTCGGAAATTCAGTAATCCCTCATCATATACAGGTTTGATATATACGAGTTTTATTCATCAGCGAATACTAAAATGCGGAAGAGTTCCACATTTTTAGATTGCATATTTTATGATACCTGATTAAAAAAAAAAATATCCAGTGCATACTGAACAAGCATATTACTACTGTTACTGGAAAAGGACCTATGTAAAAATTGAGTGTCCTTCAGGCAAGCATAAAAAGAAATTGTTTCTTTATGATTTTTTAGTATAATTTCATATTTCATTGCATTCTGATATTTTAGCACTAATAGAATAAAAGTTGAAATATTTTACGTACGACCGTTTGCACTATCAGTAGTGATGTTTGCTTGATAAGCATGGTTTTCATTTAATTTATAAAATGGATGGAACCCAAAAACCATAAGAAAAGTTCAACTCTTTGTTTGTTCGGAGTTAACGAGACCAATAATTTTCTTCAGTCAGAAAAAAAGTAAATTAAACTAGAATATAAAAATATGCGTGAAGTTTATACAACTCTGACATTTAAGAAAGAAATCGAGACTACGAACAGCTGATTGAACTTGAATAGAAATAAACACAATCACAATTTTTTTTTTTTTTACAAACTATGAATTGAATAAAAAACAATTTAAATTTACTGAAAATTACACGAAATCCAAGTAACGGCAGTAAGTCTCATGCCAGTTACGTTTGGAATCGACCAAACAATACAGTATAAATTAACTTTTTGAATAAAACCTAAAATTTTATAATCACATAAAAATATTGTCACTAGATTGTAATAGACCATGGGATAGCGACGACATAGATAAGAGTTGGTCAGCTTTTAGAATAATCGTCCTAGATGCATCGAAATTGATCTGCGGAGAGAAAAGCATCGGATCCGGTCATAAGAGAACAGATTGGTGGAATGAGGACGAGAAAAAGGCGATCCGAGACAAGAAGACAGTTTGGAAAAATTACCTCAGCCAGAGAACCCCAACTGTTTATCAGACGTACAAATATCGGAGAAGTGAAGCCAAATTAATAGTAATTCAGGAGAAGAGAAGATCCTGAGAGGATTTTGGTCGGAAGCTGGAAGAAAATGCAAAGGAAAACTAGAAAGTCTTTTACAGAGTGCTCAAAGGACCGAGGAAGGACCGGCCATCTACGCTGAAAGGAATAAAGGATAAAAACGGGAACATCGTCTGGCATGAGGAGTGCATCATGGAGAGATGGAGGGAATATTTTAAGGACCTGTTAGAGGGGAGCGACGTTTAGTGCGAAACCCGGAACGATGCAGAGGAGATTTGGGATGAGGAAGACTGCATCAGTGAAGAACTCCAAGATGCAATCGGAAAGACAAAACTAGGCAAGACAGCCTCGATAAAATTATCCCGGAAATGATTAAGTAAATGGGCAGCAAAGGCCAAGATATGTTCCAACATCTTTTAAACCTGTGATGGAAGAAGAAGAAGAAGATTCCCAGTGACTGGGAAGTAGCGGTGATTGTGCCCATCCACAAAAAGGGGGACAGTCGGGAGTGCAGCAACCATAGGGCAATATTTCTTCTCAGCGTGCCTGCAAAAGTCTACTCTAGAATTCTAGAAGCAAGAGTGAGGAAAATTGTCGATTGCCAACTAGGAGAAGAACAGTATGGCTTCAGGAATCATAGGATCACGCAGGATCTCATCTTCACGATGAGGCAAATAACAGAAAAGACTGTTGAGAAGGATAAAGAGCTCTTCATGTGCTTCGTGGACCTCCAGGAGGCTTTTAACAAAAACACACAAATGCACACATAGAGACCATTTTCCGGGACTTGGTTATTTAGACCCAGGGAATCTCAAAACTTGTATTTTCGTGGAAAACTCAGATTCGAAAATTTTCACGATCATAATACTTACCCTTACTATATATTACATACATAGGTAAGTGAAAGTAAAATTTGCCTTAAATTTAAGAAATTATTTCTCTTCTGGGGAAAAACAAAACCGTCTTTTAGCAGCTATGGCAAGACCATTTAGTCCAGATTATGAAGAAGAGTTAGAACTAACGATTTAAAGGAAAATCGAAAGAAAAAAAAAAGAAGATAATTATAGAACAATATTCGTCGTCAGGGGAATATACATCCAAAAAGTAAGAAAGAAAAAACGGAATTCCGGAAAAATATATTTAGTCCTTGGTACAGACTCCCTTTTATCAAACTATTAATATCTGGCTGAAACTTCATAAATAGCTTCATCTCATAGTAACTTACAACTATTTTATTTACGAGAATTCTCGGAATTGGGGCGCTTTCAATCTGGAGTTCGGCAGCCTTTGTGTATTTATTTATTTTTTATTTATAAATATAATAATCTGTTACGTGGACAATAATTATAGTGATATATGAACACATTCACACCATATATATGCAGAAAATATAAAATTAACAGAAGTAAAATAATAATAATAAACTATAACTATTTAATTAGGTACCAAAAACGAGTAAATACTCATTTGCTTTTCACTTCACAAAAGGTTAATAATTTGATAACAAGGTGTCTGTACCACGGACTAATTGTACTCAAACCGGAAATATTGTACCGTCAAAAGTTTTCCAAAACAATAATCACGGTTATCGAAAAGTTGGCATAAAAAATTTCGAAGATGAATGAATTAATATTTTTCGAGAAGTTTTGATATTTGAGATATTTTAATAAGAAAAAGGTACATTGCTTTACGGAGCTATCGAGCGCAAAACTGTGAAACTAAGCCATAAAAAAAACAGTGAAGATTCGCAAAGAAATTGTAGTTTAAAGTATCTGTTAAATAATAAAAACGGAAAAATCCTGGATTTTTTACAGCGTCGTATTAGACCAAAATTTGAAGAATATTGTATTGACACCACTGTATAAAAATATCTGAAAAATTCTAGGACATAATGGGCCTAGTACCATATAAACCACCGCAACATCATAATTTCTTCAAATCCCTTTCATGCACACAAAATTAATGTAGCTAAGAGATGTTTTAAATCGCTTAAATTGTGTTTTTGAAGTGTTGTAAAGATAAACAAAGTAAATTGAAACCTGTTTTTTTTTTTTTTTTTTAATTTGAAGCATCTTAAATTACGTTAAATTGACTTGGAATCGTTTTAATTTTAAAACAAATCTGGTTATTAATTCTGAAAGGGGCCTAGATTCATTTTGGTAAGAAAACGAATATTATTCACTTAATAACCGCCATTGTTTTTAATACAACTATAAATTTAACTACTTTAGATACACTTAAGCGGTATGACTCGTTAGTATCCTGTTGATATATTTTCAATTAGACTAAAACGCAAACCCTTAGATATCTATAACCATTAAATATCTCAATTTATGTATAAAGGGACATTCAAAATAAACGGTTCCAATAAATGATTCTATGGAACAGATCTTTAATAAATCTAGTTTTTATTATGAAAATATGAGGATATTAAAAGAAGAAAATACCGAGTACATTATAAATATAATTGGAAATACTTTAATATATTTATTTTAATTATTTCACAGCGGATGTTGCATCACGATCTGTTTTTTGCCAAGATTTGCATTTTTTTTACACATGTGGCGATAATATCCAACATTGCCGGCTGCAGTCAGGGAATAAACTGCTGAGCTGCAAATTCGTCATGTATAAATATCCGCACGTTCGGGAACACTATCACTCTACCCTGGGACTGATAGCATTTTAGGATGCTGTGGTCTTCATCTCTTCTCTTGGTCTTTGGTAAGATTATTATAAATTAGTTATAATTATCATCATCTACTAAGATAATATAGGTTTTTTTTTTCATATTAAATTCAAGCTATTTGATAAACTTTAAGTTTATATTAATTTATAAAGACAAATGAAATGATCCATCTGGTGCTTATCAGAATATGAATCTAATTGTAAGATAATTTGACTGTAATAAACTGAAAAATAAATAAAGTACCCTATAAAAATTTTGGTCGGTATGGCCAATACAGAGTGTCCCGTAAGTAGAGAGAAACATTTTTAAAATTGATAGTAGACATTAAGATCTACAAAAAAGTTCATATAAACAATTTCACGATTTCCAGCAGAAAAACAGTAAATTTAAGATTTGTATTTTTTTAAGCGAGTCCCATTTTTTGTTGAATAGAAAGCGGTAAAATAAAAAAAAATTGATTAAAGTAATTAAATATTGCTCTATAGTAAACTAGACAAAATTTACTTTGAATGAAAGTAGTTTTTCATTGTTAAATCTATTTAAAGAAGACTATTAGACGGACAAAGAGAGCTAAGTTCCATTTAAAAAAAGTCATAAATTAATTGTTTTTTTTAATCACCCTTCAACTGTAGTACATTTACATCACATTTAGAATAACATCCTCGTTTAATAAGTTTTAAGTCTATATTAATTGATTTGAGATTCATAAGGAGAAATTTTGAGATTCAACTCAATTTGAGTAAAAGAAATGATGTGATTTTCTATCCAGTCACCTAAAAGTACCCGTGTTTTTAGCGAAATTGTTTACGACTAACTTGTTGCAAATCTGTATGTATTCTAATAAACATAATTTTCTAATAGTACATTTTATTCATAAAAATATAAAATTAATAAATAATGATTTTCAAATATTTTTCATGAAAGGTACACTTGATGTTTTTTTTTAATAAAATTTACGTTTAAAATAAAGTGACCTATTGATTGCTTAAATTATTTTCACAAAAACGTAAAGAGGTCTTATAGATATAAAAAGCTATCAACCCTTTATAGTCTTAAGATATGATATAATAGTCAATTACCCCGTACCCTCCCCCCTCCATACCCATGGATCGCAAGTCGATAAATTTAATTTACGATTCAAAAAGTTTAGTTTTCTCGGTTTTTCGCCTATATCAGTGAAACTATGCGTTATATCTATAATAATGTCACACGTGAAGTTAAAGCTGACAAAATTTTCAATAGAAATGGTTGTATTAGTTTTTTTTTGGCTATATTCTATAGTTTTCATGGTATCCGTCCTCGTACTTCATTAATTTCGAAAAACAAAATTTTTTTTTCATCGCATTTTTATCTTTATTTGACTCTCTAACTCTTTATTTTTTCATTTTACAAAAAAGTCACTAGTAAGAAAGTTATTTAATATTAAATTTTCTTTATGAATATATATATTTTTACTTTAGTATCTTATCTTCAATCATTCAAAGTCTAGAGCAATTATAACTTAATCATTAAACTCAGAAACAGTAGATAAAAACTTACTTTTCGCAATTTTCGATATTACACAGCTCTTAATTTGTATATATAAGAGGACATACATTAGCTTACATAATATAGGTATATACAGAGGAAGAGCTGTGTAATAACAAAAATTGGTATTTAATCATTAAATTAAAATTTCTCTAGCCATTTAATGGTTGAAGTATGACTCCCTTTATTGCCACAGGCTCCCGGACTATAATAAAGCGTTGCGTTAAGATACAATTTTGAATTATAGCCTATTACAGAGAGGATGAGATGCAATTTGCTCGCTTACAGTATGCAGGCCAGAGTTTTAGTTTCTGAGATATTTTAAGCCATATGTAAAAACGTTTTAATTAGTCTTCTCTAGGCCACTTTACTCGAGCGTTATTACCGAGTGAAATCTGACAGGTCAATCTAATTCACCTGCAAAACGCGCCTAAAGAAGTTCTCATTTAAAAAATATATATATATATTTCCTAAATAATGTCCTTGTATATTCGTTGCGACCGTTTTATTTAGAACACATTGAGCGATAATATATGTTGTTAGTCTATTTGATAATTGATGTTACGTTTATATACTGAGATTTAAGAAACATTTCTTCTTTTTCCAGCGGGCCTTGCGGCAGCCGAATATGGTAAGTTTTCACACCACTATACCTCTTCCTTCTTTGACCAATTAATACCTTTTATACTAAAACGGACACCTTTCACCTAGGTTGGGACGCTGGATACCAGTACGTCTACAACATCGACGCTAGGACATTCACCGGCATGCACCAAGTTTCTGACCAATTTTCAGGAATCTATATTTCTGGAAAGCTTTACGTTTACGCCGGACCAGATGACAAAGTGACATTCAAGGTAAATATATATTTTTCTTTCCCCACGTTTTGATTTACGAAAGAAACATGGCTGACGGAGTATTTTGTACAGTTCCAAAGATTGAATTACGCCGACCTCCACCAAAACTTCAGCGGCGGCTGGGATGGAGATTTTGGTCAATATCAGCTCAACTTTAAAAGTCTCTCCAACGATGGCGTAGCCCAAGCCTACATCAAAAATGGCATGGTGAGTAGTCTTATGTATTCATCAGTTTCAATGGCGGGTAAATATTAATATTATTTTAAATATTTTGCTTTAACATATATATCAATTACTCTCACCACAGGCAGATCTACGGTGAGAGAGGGGCGCAGCCTTTCGGGCTAAAGCTTCATCCCCTCTCTCTTCGAAATGGAGATATATACAAACATGTCCTACGAAAAAAATTATCTCTAAAAAGTATCATTACAGGGCTTCAACAATAATTTAAACACCATTTCTTATAGGAAGTTAATTTCTTTCTTTTTCTTCTAAAGTTATTATCGTTCTATATATAGAGAAAAATCTGGTGGGGTGCGCGCATCACATAACTTTCACTTACCACCCTCTTCTTAGGAGAAATAAGTATTATCACACAAGGAGCAAGTGAAAGTAAAAACTATAGACGCTATATTTATCTTTATTGCATTGTGGGTATTTTTATTTGTATAAGCATCCTTTTTTATATACAAATTTTAATATTTATATCGCTGTAGTCTATAGAATTGAATATTAAATAATACCAACAATAGAGTTTAAGAAAACCGTGGGTCTGTGCCACGGACTATAATACCGACATGAAACAAAAGAACATTTAATTTTACATCGATATGGCGAGTTTACTCAAAAATGTTAAGAGTCGTTTTGGAAAAAAATGTGAAAAATCGAAGAAATGAAGTCTTGTAAAATCCTAGGTTTAAACCTACTTAAATTTCTGAGTGAAACTAAGTATGATGTGATCAATTGTGATATTTAATATCTATTAGTTTATTAATACAATACATAGTTAATAATTTTTAATACAATTTTATGTATGATACTCCTAATTTTCTATCATTCATCGATTTGTTTGATTACAGGTCAACTCCTTTGTAGTAGATAAAGGAACATCGAATTCAACAGTCAACCAAATGAAGTCCATCTTAAGTGCATTACAGATTGATATGCTTGGTCAAAATTTGAAGAAATCTAAAATGAATGATGTACCAAAAGGTCCACAACAATTTGGTATTTACAAGACATCGGAGGTAAATCAGTCTATATAATTGTATCATGACAGAAAATTGCTTTTAATTAATAAAGTTCTCAATGTAGAAAAAAAAAATGTTATTAGGACTCGATTACCGGAGAATGTGAAACCATATACGATGTGACTCCTTTGGCTCGTTACGTCGTGCAGAGTCAGCCGGAACTAGTGCCTCTCCCCCATTTGAGTGATGATGAAGAATTTATTGACATAGTCAAGACCAAGAACTTCTCTTCTTGTAAGAAGCACATGATGTACCATTACGGATTCAATGGCCATGAAGGATGGAAAGCTGGATCCAATCAAATGGGAAATTTCCTTTCTGTGAGTACATTTAAGTATTTTACAAGGGCTTCCTCTCGTAATTAATTACATGCAGATGTAGTAAATGATTTTTCATTTTGGTTTCAGAGAACATCTCAGAGTAGATTAGTCGTTTCTAAAAAACAGAAAAGTTATATAATTCAGTCATCCGTAACCACAGAAAAGGTAATCGTCGCCCCACATCTGTATAATAGCCAAAAAGGAATCGTTTTTAGCAGGTTGAACCTTACTCTGGAAGACTACAGCCCCTACAAAGGTCCAGTCCCATCAATAAACAATCCCAAGAAATTTTATAATTTGGCTTACTTGTATGAACACGGAAGACAAAAACGTAGTGGCAGTAGCGAGGCTTCATCATCTTCGTCCTCTTCTTCATCGTCTTTTGCATCTTCATCATCATCTTCATCTTCATCATCATCTTCAAGTTCTGAAGAACACAATTGGAACCAAAGTCTGAAGAGAAAAATAAGATCAGCAACACCTCCCCCTCATTCCAGCAGCAGTTCCAGTGAAACTAGTAGTTCATCTAGTAGCAGTTCATCATCCGACGAAAGCAGAGATAGTCCTATTAGACAGGGTTCTTATTCTTCCTCCGGCTCTTCATCCTCTAGCGAAAGCTCATCAAGCAGCTCTAGTGAAGAGTATCTTTCTCCTCAACCTCAATTCAATGATGCTCCACAAATTGAATTCTTTCCCGAACAAATGGTGAATTTCCGCTCTGAAAGTGGGCATACGGTGGAGAACTTGGTACGATTGGCTAAGCAGATTGGAAAATACCTTCAAAACCCAAATAATATTCCAAAAGACAGCGTTCTCACTTATTATTCATTATTATCATATTTAGCAGCCGAAGCAAATTACCAACAATTGCAGCAAGCAACTGAAAAGTTGTATTTCCCAGAGGAAAAAAGCAATAAGGAATCCTATCCCGATTATACGTCTTGGTAAGTACCTCTATGTCTCAAATACTTCTATATCACAAATATTGTCGATGTTTGGTACAAATTTAATGTCTGCTTTCATTTAGGCAAGCCTTCCGTGATGCAGTGACACAAGCGGGTACCGGACCAGCTTTAAAGATCATCAGGTCATGGGTCGAAAGTAGTAAGGTTAGCGCGAATGAAGGAGCACAGCTCTTGGCAGTTCTACCCAGATCCGCTCGCTTCCCAACAGTTGAATACATGGAGTATTTTTTTGTACGTTATTTTCAACACCTTTATGTAAATATAATTCGTTTGGAAGGTATATTAATTTACTCATTTTACAAATTTACAGAATTTCGTGAAGAGCAGTCATGTCCAAAATCAAAAGTACCTTAATGACAGTGCTATCTTGTCATTCTGTGATTTGGTTAGAAGGTCACAAGTAGACGAAGAAAGTGCACACAATCGTTATCCTATCCATGTTACTAAATCAAAAGTTCTCGAGAAATTGCTATCGTTCCTCGAGGAACAGCTGAGGAAGGCTGTTGAAAAAGGAGACTCTGTCAAAATTCAAGTTTACAGCAGATGTATTGCCATTACCGGCCATCCAAAAATTTGGGGTATTTTCGAACCGTACCTAGAAGGAAAGATTCTAATATCTCATTTCCAGCGGTTGATAATGATAGCATATTTGGGAGACGCGATAATAGTACATCCTAATGCCGCTCGTTCAGTTTTATATAAGATCTATGAGAATGAGGGAGAAGTTCCAGCACTCCGGGTAGCAGCCGTTATGCAACTCATGAAGACCAACCCACCTGCTCAGTTACTTCAACGTATGGCTGAGCGTACAAATTATGACCACAGTGAACACGTGAGTGCCGCTGTCAAATCTGCAATCGAGAGCTTAGCTAACGGAGATTATAAGGCCCGCCCAGATTTGTAAGTTATGTTTTAAGTACTTTTTTAACCGAAAATATTTTAAAATTCAACTAATCATTAAAAGATTCATTTTCAGAGTCAAAAACGCCCGCTTGACAGCGAATCTACTTACCACCAAAAACTATGGCTTCCAGTACTCACAAAACTTTATCAAATCGTATGTTGCCAAGGAACACAGCACTTTAGAATACCAGCACTACTTAACTTATATCCAGGGTCTCGACGGACTCTTCCCAAGCGCTGTACTATATAACCTTCAACGCAAAACAGGCGGTTACGTCCATGAACCACAAACTGTGAGTACCTATAATCAACTTCGTAAACATAATTATAACTTGCTATTATCGTAGTATATATGATCGTTTAGTTTGTTAGAATACTGTTCTTTTAAAAAAAAAAAGGTTTGATACAATTTATAAGCAAATAATTGTTACAAAAACAATATTAACATAATACAAAGTATGTTGGTTCACAATTTTCAATACTTTCAGATAAAAAATGAATTAGTAAATTGCAGAATAACATTTTCTTGGTAATGGCTACTTGACACCAAGGTGAATACTTGTACATAGACATAAATCCCAATATTGTGATATTAGTAAAGTGGAGTAAGTGAACAAATGTATTGTGAAACTCTAATCCTGATGAATTACTAACACCCATGTTTCACGAATCAGCCACTGGAATCAGCTAAAAGTTTGTAAAGAAATTAGTTGCCACCTGTTGATTAAGTTGGATCATTCAATTCGAGCCATACCGCGCTTTCTGTATATAACACCTAGCCTGTATATATATTTTATCATTTACAGACTTAGCCATTTTAATTAGAAGATGGAATTTATCGAGACATTTTGTTTTTACTAAAAATTATGAACGCCCTAGATGAAAATCAAGAGATTTTTTCCATGTCTTTTCCTCTAAACTTTGCACGTCATAACAAGTAAGTTAAACGTACAATGATTTAGAAGTTGGAGTTTTGAAGAAAAGTTTTAAAACTTAAAGTCATGATAGTTACCTCTAGGGCAGTAAATAGCTACTAAACACCATCCTCCATCTAGGCTGCTTATATCTATAACGATAATTCTCAAATATTTCTGCAAAATAATTAATACAGACTTTTTGGTCCCCTTCTGTACTTAAAAATAATTTATTATCTGCAATTCTACTAGGTAGTTTTCTATTTGTAAGCCATATTCCTCAGTTGAACCGACAAATCATGCCTAGCGGCATATTTAGATCTCTTTTGTGGGCCAAGCAAAAGTGCCTATTCTCTCCAAGGTTGATGGGGCATGTGTTTCCCTTCTTCCATTCCAAGAAATTTTAACGCTCACCTTTTCTTGAAAACGGTGCAAGAGAAATTATCATTAGAAAAATCTTTGATAAAAACAATTACACTTGTAGTCTATTCGTTGTTTTCCCTCGGCTATTGGTTTGAGACTTTTCAATCTGAAAATTCATAACCTACCGAAATGTGCATCTTTCAAAAATTTAAAACCACGTCCAAATTGATCCCTCTCAAAATTTCATTATGCAAAACCCTCCTCTGGAGACCTCTAGAGCTAAGTACTATTGCATTTATTTTCATGTTTAGCTAGGAAACCGCATGCCATGCGCAATAAATGAATTTCAGTGATGATTTTAAAATTTAAATCTTGACATCAATAAAATAATGCTATGAAAACAAACTATTTCGCACTTTATGGCATTTCTTCAATAAACGAGCTTCCAAGAAACCTCGTGCGAACTTAGCCATTAGCAGGACCAACCACCTCATAGATAATAGGTTGAATCTCCAATCTTATGCAAATGGGTGTGATTGAAACGATGGCTCGAGGATAACATTTAAAGATTATTTGGCTGAGGAACAATTACAAAATAAAAGAAAGAAATATTTAATTTTAAAGTTGAAGATATTGCAGTTATTCCATGTCAAACTTTCACTGTGGGTGAGATCCCTTTTTATGAATTATTAACATCCGCCTAAATCTACGAGAATGGCTTCATCTCATCGTAATGTACAAACTTTTTTATTTACGAAAATTCTCGAAATCGGGTCATCCATTTCAACGCATGAACACCCATCTGCTTTCTACTTGAATCGTAAGATAATTTGATCACAGCATCGAGAATAATGATAGCCTACAAAAATATTGAGCCATTTGGCCACATTATTATGAGATATTGGGTCATACATGTTAGTGAAGGTTACACCAAACGGCTACACCAACATGTCAAAATAACGAGGTTATATAGACCAAATGCCACAATATTTTTGTAGAACACCTTTTCGAATTTGTGATCAAATTATCTTATGATTTAAGCATGGAAAGCAAATGAATGTTTATGAGTATTTAGTGCCTAATTAAATTATTTAGAAAACACATTATTTCTGAGAATTGTTTTATGAGAATGAGTTTAAGGTGGATATTATTAAATTAATAAAAAGGATTCTGTGCCACGGACTACTACCTTATCTAACATAAAACCCAACAAACTTACGCATTTTTTAAAACAAATGATATTTATAAGTAACATTTAGCTATGAATGTGAATGTGTGAATGGGGAGTCATACTTTGTTGAATTTAACATCTTTTCGATGAACTTATGTTTCAGATATCTTTTATGTCTTCGAGCTCCGAAGAATTATTGAACCTCCTCTTCGAACAATCTGGCTTTGGAAGCTACCAAAAAGAATCAAACCACCATAAACAACCGAAAAAAGGATACCAGTCAAAATACACGTACCAAAAAATCATCGAGATTCTCAATCCACAGTACGACGAACCACCTCAAGTAGAAGGAAACTTCTTCTTCTCATTCCTAGGCTCTCCAAGATTCTTTGCTTTCGACAATCACACAATCGAACAGTTCTCAGAATGTATGGTTCAATTCTTGGTTCATTCCATCAATACAAAGTTTATATTTTCATTAGATAACTTCATATTTTTGTCTAGATTTCAAGCAAATTCACCAGAAACTGCAAAAGGGCGTGAACTTCCACGAAACCAAATACTACAACCAGTACTCTGTGGAAATTGGATTTCCTTTGGCCACTGGCGTTCCATTCATTTACTCTTACGATGAACCAACATTATTCTATGCAGATGTTGAAGCTAAGGGACATTTTCAGCAAGAGCAAGACAAAAACGAATATTATCAGGTTCCTTATAAAGCATCTACTGAAGGAACATACAAATTCACGTATGTATCTTCATTTATTTTCTCTTCCTAATGAATAAATTTCAGATTTAATCTAATACTCATTTCTGAGAATAATACTTGAATTTGAAAATATTATTTGCAGTTGGTCTTCCCAAAAGAGGGGCAAGTTAGGATTCATAGCACCCTTCAATGACCAGAAGTATCTTGCTGTCGTTGAAAAGAGCACCCAATTTTACATTCCGTTCGTGGGCAAGTTGCAGTTCAATGGACCTCAACAGTACTTCCAGGCTAGCATTCAACCCTACAGCAGTTTGAGTAACGAACAGCAAAAGATCTTCCAGCACAGTACTGACATTTACACGACATATCATAACTTGTATGATATCAAACCTTACATTAAGGGTAGCTATGCAAGGCGCGTTCATGTTGCATCGAGCAAACAGGTATGAAACTCTATATTTGGATAGTTTGGAGATGATAAGCTTTATACTGGTATCATTATATATATATATATATATATATTCTTTTTTGCAGTTTAAAAAATCCTTTGGTCAAGCTTACACAGGTTATGGGTTCCAAGTGGAAGCTAAGAGTGAAAATGATTTTACCGATTACTTTAGAATTTATAAGGCTTTGAAAACTCTTGATTATGACTTCATCTCATCAGCTTTTTACAATGACCTTGTTCATACTCTGGCCAACAATTACTATGCCGTTAGTTTCGATCCCCACTACAGTTCTTCAGAAAAGGTTGTATTTAAACTGTATTATGACAACGCGGAACAAGGAGGCCAACATAAGAAGACTACCAAACTCACGAATGTTAGAGACAGAAGAACAAAACTTTCAGGAAGTAACCCGGCACAGCCATCCTCTGTGGAGAGCCGAGTCGATGAACTCTTTGCTAATGCTTATTCCGGCATCCAGGATGCGAAAGCATACGTGTTTGACGCTTCCGTCACAATGGAAGGTAGCCAAAACAAGGGACAGTATGTGTTCACTTATGCCCATGCTGAAAGTCCTGTCTCTGAGAAATCAAGATACCTCGCTTACTTCAGTGCATCGCCATATGAGGAATCTCAAAATGCCAAGCCTTTTAAGGTAATTATTAGCTAAATATTTAAGCAATTCATTTCCAAAAATAATTTTGAGAAGAATAAACAAGGCATCTAAAAACATTAACAATAGCACATAAAAGTCAAATATTCTTAACTACTCTTGTATTATTTCTAGGCTGCTTTCCACGCCACTTTTAAGAACGCCCAAGTTCCAGTGTTCAATTACCAAAAAGCATACGAATCTGACCCCACTTCTTATGTTGAGGGACAAATTAACTTTAACGACAATGATCAATACAAGATTTCTTTCCAGGTATTCTATAACAAATTTAGTGTTAATCTAAACTGTAAGTATACACACATGCAATTAAGTATTTATTTTATTTTTCTATTTTTAGGGTAAGTTTGAGCAGTCTGCAGAAAGGAAGAACTATGTCAAACATAGCCCATATTCAGCCTTGTGCCAGCAGCAAATGCAGCACAATCATTACATCCAACAAGCCTGCCGCAATGCTAGCTTACATGCTAATGTCCTTGATAAATATCAAATTACCTTCAATTACCAAAATGTTCCTGAGGAGTTCCAGAAATCAACATACGCAGCTCTTTCCTTAGCAAGGCATAACGGTTATCAATACTATCAGGAAGAATTCCCAGGAGTCAAGAATGAAGCTGGACGAGTCACATTCCGTGCTAGATTTTCAGAAGATCTTAATTATTTCAACTTCTCCTTTGCAACACCACATTTTAACTCTTATTTTGAAAATGTTGGTCTTCATCATCAGCTCAGACCTTTCTTCCTGCATTATCCTGCTTACAATCAACTGTACTTTTATTCGCCATACTACTTTGACACTAAATATTATGGTATGTTGCAATTATTTTCAATTAATTTTTATAAATATGAAAGAAAATTCAGTGAAGTAAGTAATGCTTAATGTCATTTAAGTCACCTGTTTAAAGGAATAACTTTTATTTCAGCCTCTTGCAGCTTAGACGGCAATGAAGTGAATACTTTTAATAACCAGACATTTTATTATGAAAATGAAATAAACATGCCTGTCGTCCTGGCGTTCGCTCGCCCAGGAGAACACATTGAGAGTACCGAAGATTCAGATGAATACAAAACATACTATTATGGAGGTTTCTCTGTGATTGCTAAAAATTATGGTTCTAATCAGAAGGTATAAAACTGTAATAATTATATCCTTTGTAAAATTCCATCTATTTTTATAATTACATGTGTTTGTTTCTGTATTAATAGGAAGTAAGAGTTGCCCTTGATGACGATGAAATATACATGCGTCCTTCAGGAAATGGTGGGGTGACGGTCACTGCGAATGGAGAAACGATCCAAGTCGAAGAAAATAAAATTTCAAAATGGGAAAACAATGGAAATATAATGGAAGCTTACTCCACGCCCGGTGGCAATGACGTCGCATCATATTTTCCTAAACACGGTATCCAAGTACGCTATGACGGCGAACGTATTCTTCTGTCTGTCACAAATCATCACAGGGACCGCGTACGTGGTGTTTGTGGAACATTTGATGGAGAACCTGTAAATGACTTTACTACTCCATCGAACTGTGTCGTGAAAGACGTTCAACAATTTATAGAATCTTACACTCTCACTGAACCATCCTACCGTGGATCAGCCAAACAACACAAACAACAATCACCAACTGCAGCATGTTACCCGAGATCAGTTGTCTACGGAGATGTTGTGTCAGACGCTTTAGCAGGAAGAGGACGCCAACTAACAACTTCGTCAGGTAATCCTAATGATATCCAAGGAGAACATTCAAGAATGCCTTCTTGCTCTTCCTACAAGGTTCACATCATCAAGGAAAATGGCAGGGCCTGCATCTCACGCAGACCGCAGGTGTCCTGCAACCCCAATTGCAAGCCTACTAAGCATATAGAAAAACTAATCGATTTCCACTGTATGTCCGAATCTGAGAACATGACCGGACATTATCTCCGAATGGTCCAGAAGGGAGCTAATCCAGATTTCAGCCAGAAAGCTCCTAATTCTAAAATGAGGGTGATGCTACCAGAAAGCTGCACTTCAAGTTAAATCAATGTATTTTTTTTTAAACTATTTAATAGTTTAATGATAAATAAAAAGGAAAAAAAAAATGATTTTTTTTTTTCATTCCAGTATTCCGAAATCACTGACGAGGAACATTTGCAGAAAAGATTTTTTCTTTTCTTTCTCAATCTTATTTATTGATTGAAAGAAAAAGTAATTGAAACATGATGATTTATAATATGTAGCAATCATAAAGTTAAACATGACTTTAGCATTATTCAGCTGGTTAGGTAAAATTTCTTATCCAGAAGTACTTTAAATTCCACAAAGAACCAGGAGAACGCCTCGGAAACCACTATACTCATAAAATCTTTCTAACCGTTGGTAATCAGACTAGCGTATCTTCCTGCAAATATCGTTTGCAATCACTTTAAATAAAGCGGAAGGACAAACTTTAAAACATATTGGAGTACTGAATTTTTTTTTTCCCTAGGTCAACTGATTAAATGGTTATGTTTAAATATATATATATATATAATGCCAACTCGTGGGTGATTGATCTAGATATATAGATCTAGATTGGGAAAACTAATATATACTTTTACTCCAAAGGGAAATAAATTAAAATATAATTTAGGCTGAAGTACTGTTTGTTTTTTGGTTTTCTAAAACATCAAAATATTTGATTTTATAAAATGAAACTGAAGTCACTTTTTATCAAGAAATTTTTTTCTATGCATTGCACCTTTTGTTTTTGCACATATATTTAGAATGTTATTAATCTAACTCCACCCAGCTTCCTTTCTCAGGTACAGCCCGGCATCTTGGGTTTCTCTCTGACAGACGACTGACATGGAACACTCATACTAGACTTAAAAGACAGGGACTTAACCAACGATACAGCTAACTATACAGACTACTAAATAGAAAATCTGAACTTTCTATTGAAAACCAATTACTGATGTACAAGACAATACTGAAGCCTATTTGGACTTACGGACTAGAACTTTGGGGAATAGCAAAATCAATCTCATTCATCCAGTACAAAATCTTTTGACAATAGTCGAAGCTCCTTTCTATGTAGCAAACAAAATAATACACCATGACCTCAAAATCCCGTTTGTTCTAGACCTTATCCCAGAAAAATTCTCTGAATTTCACCAGAACCTTACGTATCACCCAAATTTTCTTGCCCAATCTCTGTCAAGCACCACCCATCCCTATAATCCTCCAGCAATATTGAAACAGCAGTGGCCCCGCGACCTTTTGTAGTTTGTATATATTGGAGCTCTGGCAATGGCCAGATTCTCCACTCAAGATATGAGTGTATGTGGCTGCTTTAGCCTTTATCGCTTTGCTCTCGATCAATCTCCGATGGATTTAGTACCAGTGATGCGGTTGAGAGAGTAGCGCATGGTTCTTCTGGAGTCTTGCTTTTCCCTCCATAGTTGGAGGGGCAAGCCTGCCTCGGAGTTTCCTCTTCTAATGTATGCTTTTTTTAATTTCCATATTTTCAAGTTATTTTATTTTATTTATTGTATGTACTTTTTGATTATTACTTATTTGTTATTTCGCTTCTGTTTATTTTATATTTGTTTGTACATATAGTGTGTGAATGTGATCTCACCTTTCTATAACCAATGTTCAAGTGTCAGAATGTTGAAATGTTCAATAAATAAATAAAAAATCTGTGCGGTGTGCGCATCACACAACATTCATTTACCATCCTCTTCTTAGCAAAAATCAGTATTTTCAGATAAAGGGGAAGTGAAAGTAAAATTATAAACGCTATATTGATTTATATTTTATTGTGGATATTGGTATTTATTTAAGTACCCTCATATATACAAATTTTAATATTTATATCACTGTAATCTATACAATTAAATATTAAATAATACCATCGAAAACATTTAGGAATACCGCAACTTTCATACGACTTTTCATTTTTGAGCTAGACCTGTCACATACATACAGACATACAAATACCATTTTGCGGGACTTGTTTATTTGGACTCAGGGGACCTCATAACATGTATTTCCGTTGAAAACTCAGGTTCGAAAATTTTCACGGTCGTAATACTTTCCTTTATCATATATTTCATATATATATATATACATAAGTGAAAGTAAAAACTAAATAAATAAATTAATCATATACTATGGGTTATAGTTGTTTGCAACATAGTAGACGAACGTGATGTCTCGCTGCTCCATTATATCGTTGGGGTGCTACACAACGAGGATCTAGGGACAGGTAGCTGATGAATCTTCTACTTTTTTTACATCTTCCTTTAAATTGAAACCCTTCCCTCTCCCCCCCCCACGTTTCCCTCCTGCTGTTACTAAATAGAAATATTATTAAATCTGCTCTTCACATGAGGCCTCTTCCATTGTGCCATTGTCTGGCCGGTGAAAGAGTTGAATGTCACAGCGGGGGGCTTGCTCTCAGAAGTGATGTCAACAGTATACAATGGTATTAAAAGCCCCCCTTCACGTCATCTAAAATAACAACTCTGGTCGACATCACGTGTCTCTATGGTAAATACATAATATAAAATGCGGAAAATTCCCCTCGCTTATATTATGTAGAATTTTCCATTGATGATAGGAATAAGTGGGGTGCCACTTTTATGTAACTTTACTAATCCATGTATTTTAGGTCTATTGTAGTTAGCGTTAATATGTTTAATTTCGCTCAATTAGAAATTGTCAAGGTTAATAATAAAGTTTGTTACATAAAATATGGACATCAAAGCAAGGTCAATCTAAAAATGTCCTTAATGATTAATAATTTACGTAGTTAAATTAGTGACACTTACTAGTTTATGTTTTATCCTACGACTGTATAATATTTATGTGGAATTCTCCAGTTGGAAGGTTATATAATGTTATATTTTCCATTATGCCTAACAGGGAAGCCCATCCCCTCCTTCCAAGGCAGATAACGTATAAACTTTTCCCCACCCCTCCTAAGATATTTTATTCCTCTCTCCTTCTTTAAAACAGTGCAAACGAAAGTAGAATCTGAACATTCGTATATTATATACCATTACACATCCTGTTGTCTGATATGAAACTTTTCATATTGAACACTCATAACCCCTTCGGATTCTGCCCCCTTTAAAATTGAAAACCCCTTCAAAAAGTGCCTCCCTCATTAACTTTGCTGGCGTAACTTGAGATGCCTAAGAACGTCTGCTATTATTCTTCTTATTTTTATATACTGCAAATAACGTTGTCAAAATAAAATTCCAATGTTGTAATAATATTAGCATTTGTACTATATATTAGCATGAACTCGTTATCATTTGGATTTGGACACTATATTTTTCCCTCTCCTACTCTCTAACAAGGGGTTGGGTTAAGATACAATTTTGAATAATATATCATTACAAAAAGACGAAATCATGAAAATTTCCTTCGCTTACAGGTATGCAGGCCCGATTTTTATTTTATGAGATATTTTAATCCATATGTAAAATCAATTCAATTAGTCGATTATAGTCAACTTTACCCGAGCGTTGAAACCGAGCGAAATATGACAGATCAATCTCCACAAAAAAACTGCAAAACGTGCCTAGAGAGGTTTTCACTTCGATAAGGAAATTAAATTATTCAGCGTATCATAAGATGAAGGAACCATTTCCTATTTTTTCGGTAATTGTAATCGACAAAAGAAAAGAAAATGATTACAAAACTTCCTTTTTGTTATAAAACCGAAATGTTAATAACCTGTATCTCACCTAATCATAGTCCGAATTCGATAATATTCTTTTGTTCTGTAGGCAATTTAGTAATCTTTCATATAATAGCGGATGACTTTCGAAAAAAACTAAGGATAAGTGCCTAGGTGAAAATTTGAGGGGAAAAAACAAATTTTCGATTGCTATAAAAATTCGTATTTGTGGATTTCGTATCTAGAGGTGCGAAATAAAAATATCAACATTGTTTTCCCTTAAAAAAATATTTGAACCCCATTCAATTCTTCGGTCGGTACCTTAATTGTTTCAAATTTAAATATGTCTAATTAATTTCAATGACTTTTTTTTTTTGGTTTTGTTTGTAACAAAAAATGTTGACCGTAAGATGGGGTAACTTTGGGACTGGGTGGGTAACCTTGAGCCAGGGGGTGATTTAAAAAAATTAAATCTTCTACCACCATTCGATGCAACTTACACTCTCCTTTTGAAGGTTACTGGGCTATCTACAGAACATAGATTTTCTCAGGGTGCCCAGAAGGGGGCTTCATGGCGCCAAGTTGCGCTATCAAAATTTTTAAGAATATTTTGACAGATATTTGAATTTTTGAGGGGGGCAAAATATCGACGGAGTTATGAATTTTCGGACCAAGGGACAACCTGAAAACATGGAACAGACTGCAGCAAATGTGATTGTATATGATCTACGATTTTTTTCTAATTCATCTTTGCTTGGTTTGTTTTTAAGAAAAGGTGACTAATAAAAGATCTTGAGAGGAGGAGAGAGGGTATGTTCTTGCGCCATTGAGCTTGGAGAGGATGGGCACCTCTGGATTTTCTTCTATCTGGTTATGTTTTTAATAGTTTGTGAAATGTCAAACGCTCCTTTAATGGTTAATCAACTCCTCAAAGTTCGTGTGAGGATCAGTGAAGACTCTATAGATGGAAGAGCATTCTTCGGGAGAACACATTAAAGGAATGGAACCAGCGGTGGGTGACGATGCCAAAAGGGACTACGCTAAGAAAATACTTCCCCACCGTTCGTTCAAGAATGGAACAGACATGGGTTCTCTCGGACTAATGGGTCTCACAGTTCCTCACAGGGCATGGGGGTTTCCGAGCAAAGCTCGTTGAATATGGCAAGAACATCGATCCCCTATGCCCAAGTTGCAGAGTGCCGGAGACCGCCGAGCATATCATCCTTGTCTGTACCGCCTTTGAGGCACTGAGGGCTAAGTTGTTGAGGGAGACGGGGCTCTACGCTCTGTCGGAGAGCGATCTCCCTCAACTTATGACAAAGGAAAAATATCCAACAAGGCATTCGTATAAGGGGTGGAAGGAACTGGTTGGGTCAACCCACTTTTCATTGGGAAGAAGAAATGAACCTGCATCCGAAATACCGCCAGAGAGGGTGGAATAGGATGCTGGCTAAAAAGAAAAAAAGAGCAGGCTGTGTGCACAGCTGTAAAATAATGTAAATGTAATTGGTCTGAATGCAGCAGTGAATTGTAACGCATGCGTTGCTACTCACTACTGCATAACACCCGTATTGCCTTATCGGCAGGGTAGGGTGTAAATAAAATAAAAATAATCCTCAAAGTTGTAAATATATTAATTTAAATCGAGATAGCTCAGTGGGTGAGCACTGACTTCAAGAGGTCATGGTCCCAGGTTCGAATCCGGCTGATGACTAGTAATTTTTTATTAGCATGAATTGACCCTGCGATCGGGAGACCCTCCTGGGGCCCACCCAGCCTCTATATAGTGGGCACACTTAATTTTGAGCGTGATATCGGCACCATCACCTCCCTGCAAAACCGTCCGCCTTGTAACAGTACTTCCTTAAATAGTACTGCAGCCAAAACCCTTCATGGGTTGCAGTGGTACAGGTTTTTTTATTAATTTAAATAGCTGATCAACATATGTATATATGTTTTATTATCCGTTATCCGTTTTTAGAAATATTTATTGGTTTATTTAATCAGTGCAGTCAATGAATAGCCCAAAAGGGGGTATAGAGAGCGCGAGCAGGGACCTAAGCTTAGGGTATGAACACATCAAAAGTTCTGACGTCTAGGTGGGAGGGAGGCAGAGGAAATGTCACAACTGTGGATGTCCGTTTACATCTCGAAAACAGTGCATCGCAGGAGAAAATCTGCTCATAATAAATTAAAGTTTATGAGAACTTTTATTAAATAGGTTTTATTCGAATTCTAAACAATTTTCGAACTACACGCTCGGAAAAAGTTGACATTTACGAAAAAAATAATTTTGCCTCACATTTTTTATCAAACGTTTCTTCATATGGTCTAAGCTATTCATCATCCGTACATATATTATTACAGTAAGGCTCGAAATCGGTTTTGTACCAAATATAAGCTCCTGTCATGCTCAAATACCCTGAATGGGGTACTGTTGGATTCAGAATTTCACGGGGGGTTAGCGAATCGTATTCTCCGCTTTTGTTTTTCTTTCTAAAATAAATAAAGTCGATACAAACATTTTGCTAGGCTTCAATACTGGAACGGTGGTAGGTCTGTAGATCGATGCGGGACAAATTGGACCTTGAAAATTTTGATGCGTACAGCAAGACCCGGATAGTTCCTCCGGAACTATCGGATCCTGCGTTTTTAAGCCCAAAAACGTACCATTTTCGAGATAACGCAAGGCATGGGGTTCGCATCCACACAACCTGACGTTAATTGTAGTACTGTCATTTGATACATGTCTCATTTCGTCGACTTGAGGTTTCTATGATCGAGACAGGAGGAGTTTATATTATTTATCGATGATGTTTGTGATCGGCAAGCCATATCATCGTTAATTTTTCACCAAATCTCAAGATTGAGCCACCAATTTCGAAGGCTTCCTTCTACTTCAGGCGGGAAAAATATTCCAATCACCCCGAAAATTCAGGCAAACAAGTTATGAAAAAAAATAAACTTTATTTGCGAATAACTACAAAATTACAAACTTTTTCCTTGGTCATTCCCATGATTGTATAAAACGTTACTAATTTTCTGCAAAAGGAAAAATAATCATTGAAATCGGACAATTTTTCGCAAAGATACAGCTTATTGCAATTTGTAAATATGTTGGTTCTAAACAAAAATGAAGATTTAAATTAATTTTGTTTCCTTTGTGGATTATATTTATGGATAAAGTAACAATTGATTTCTTTATCTTTTGATAGGTTGTATTATTTTATTTTCTTATTAATTTGGCATTTGATAACAATATGCTGTGCGAATTTTTCGCACGGGCCTACTAGTAGAAATAAATTGATATGAAATAAGTTGTAGAAGCTTAAATTTCCTATTAGAATATGTATTGATGCAAATTAAACATCAACCAGTCTAAAGTTACTGCTATTTTAAAAATGTTCTAAAAATTTTGTAATTTTCAGAAAAAGTTGTTTTCATAGCAATATGTTTTGTTTTTATAGTAATCCTTATTTTTATATGGGTGATCAGAAGGTGATTTCATGGCGCAATTTTTTTTTTCTGAATTTTCTTGGAGGGCACGTTTCGACAACGTTATGAATTTTCGGAGTGAAAAGTTTTAAATTAGAGATTTAAGAAGATAACATGGGAGATACCACAGCTAGTAAAATTAGAAAATAAAAAAAAAACTAGTAAAGTTGAATATGATCCAAGATTTTTGTGATCGGTCTATAATAAAAATGCCAGCACTCACTGGACACAAAATTTAATGCTCTACAACTTTGATTCTATGGATTTTTATTTTTAAGGAACTCTCCAAGTTTCAGGGCCATTTATTGTAATTTGTGTCAGTTTTTGAGAAATTTGGTAAAACTCAGCGTTGGTCGACCGTTATACCTTACCACGTAACCAAATCATAACGTTTATTTATTCGATCGGCGCACTAATTAACGTCCTTTAATTTATTAATGAGTACTTTTTCCGCTTCGATGCATCGTTTATGAGTAAATAAATAAAAACTTTTCTCACATTTTTCGCAATGGATTTCCCGTTTCGATCCCCAAATTATTGACCTTATATTCTTTAAATCAGCCGCCATTTTTGAAAGTAGCGGGCCTGAGCGGCAGCCAAGGTTATTTTTACTCAGAATAACATACACGTTCTTAATTTACAACCAAACCTTCGCCTTCGATGAGGTCGATTTTTGGGCCCTGGCTGCAGGGCTAAAACTGATGTGTAAGTCATGTCGCTCTGTCAGATGTAAACCAGACTCAGTACTCGGCTATCTTCGGCATTCATCGGTAATATGGGACTAATGTGCTCAGGGTGATCTTCAAACCGGCCACCATTTTTACTTTCACTTACGTATATATGTAATATATAGTAAGGGTAAGTATTGCGATCTAGAAAATTTTTGAATCTGAGTTTTCAACGAAAATACACGTTTTGAGGTACCCTGGGTCGAAATGACCAATTACCGAAAAATGGTCTGTGTGTCTGTGTGTCCGTGTGTTGTATGCTAGCAGTCTAGCTGAACGAAAAGTCCTAAGTAGCTGATATTACGTATTTAAGATAGGTATATGCCTTAGTTGTGACGGCAACTTTTTCCTTAAAATCGGCTAACCGGAAGTGTCACTTTATATGAACGCTGAAACACATTTTCACAATGTTCTCAAAAACGGCTCTAACGATTTTGATTAAACTCGGTGTATCATTGTATAATTAAGTTATCTTTAATATAAATTAGGTCTTATCCCCATTGAAGTCACTTTACAGGGCTTAAATACCCAATGTTCATATACGTCTTCCTCGAAAGTACCTTTAATATGGTTTATTTTAAAAAGTTAATCATTAAACATTATTCAACGTTACGAAAAAATGCTAAATATAACTTTTGAAAGAATTTGATAAGTTAATAAAGGAGAAAAAAAAAGAAAAATGCAGAAAAACCTGCGTTGCTATAGATTGTAGCGCCTAAAGGAATGTACCGATTTTAATGAAACTTCGCTAAAATCATTTTCTCGGCACCCTTTAAATTTATCTATATAACATACTTCAAAGAAAAGAAGCTGGAAAAAGAGTTACGAGGGATGGTAAAATTAAATTCCGAATAACTCAAAAAGTATACGCTTTTTGTAAAAAGTATACAGTTTTTTCAAAGATTATGGAATTTCTTAAAAAAAAAAAAAAAAAAAATCATTAAGACAATTAGGAGGAAAGATATGGTCTCTAGTTTTTTTCCCTGAAGAGGCGAAAATTTGGATAAATTTAAAATATACTTTTTTAATTGTTGAGACTAAAAAAACCTTTTTTCCACAGATATTTAATAAAGTATCTTTCGTAAGAACATTTTTCATAAGAATAAGTACCTAAATTTATACCTTTATTCTCAGTTCTATATTTCAACACTGCAATCACCACCTCCGGAATCAACTTACTCACTGTCTGCATAGATAACGTTTTCAACTAAAAATATCACTAAATGGGATTATTCAAAAATGTTGAAATTGGAATTAGTCATTCTGTAGTTTATAAAAGCAAAGAAAGTTGTGTGGTTTATATAAGCAGATGGAGTGACTAGATTTTTATTGCCTGTCGTCGATATATTAAATAGACATTTTGTAATTATAATGGTCTTAATGACTTGTTATGCTTTAGCTCCGTTTAAAATGTACTTCAAAAATATTTATAATAGCCCAGCATTACCAGAAAATAATTTCTATTCATAGTAGATCGGTAAGTGAAAGTTGAGTGTTGCGCACACCAGATTATTTGGAGTAGCGAAAGGGGACTAGTACTCCGTTTTGTATTATTTTAAAAGGTTGTAAGCAGTGTTACCGCGCGCTCTGTGACAAAACCTCGTACTCAAGCCTCGTACATCCTCGTACGCTTGTTCATTCATAATTTGTACTATTATAAGCCCAGTGTTATTGTTTTTTTTATAGTAAAATTAGATCAGAATTTTTTATTTTTACCTCCATTCATATATTTTAAAGCCTTTTTACATTACTTTTTTTTTAAGTTAATGGTCAAGAAGTAAAATTAGCTTAATAAAATATATAAAAAAGTTTATATATTTTTATAAACTACTGAACACGTTATATAAAAATTAAAATAGCTAAATAAACTTCTTAAAGTACTCTTCATAAGTAGATCCAAGATTTAGTTAGGGGGAAGGACTAATTTTTTTTCTTTTTTCTAAAAACAAAACAACTACTTTTATGAAAGGATGTTAGTGGTTCTGGAAGGTTAATAAAAG